AAAAAAAAAAAAAAAAAAGACAGACTTGGAGAAAACTTCTTGGAAAAGATCGGCTATGATGATAGAAATGTATCGAGTATAAAGCGTATTAACGAAAAATATATATAAATAAATAAAATAAAATAAAACAAAACATTAAAGTGTAAAGTTAAAAACATTGTTTGGTCGCTTTATATTATCCACAGCAGACAAATGGTCGGCCAAGCTTTATTCCTTGGGCAAGCCCTAACCGTCAGCACAGCTTCATTTAGTGAATGCAGGATATCGAGGTGGCTGATGAGTCGTGGTAGTGGATTACTGCATCAGACTGGGAGGTCCTCATTTTTTACACAAACCCGCATGTGCTGGATCGTACGCTCTAGAGAGAGACAAGAGAGGCAGAGAGATCGAGTGAGTGCCAATTACAGTCATTGCCATTGCATACAACCTTCATCTACCAGTCCACGCTCACTTTCGTTTATAATATTTCATATTGGATCAATTTATCCTTGTACCGAAACAATTCTTGCCTTTATCGACACCTTTTCTTACGATGTATGTTGAGACGAGTGACTAGCAAGCGAGTGGTTAGTGGCCAATAATGAGAGCATCGACTCTTTTTTGCCTCTAAAATTGAAATACAGGAGAATGACATGATTAATCCTAGTTTTAAGAATAATATTATATATAAATATATATATATATATATATATTTATTGTTGTCGATTTTCAAGATTAGTAATTAATTATTCTAAAAATGAGAGAAAATTTAATCGGAAGTAAGTCATAGTCTCGAAGCCCACCGAGCCCAATGTAAAGGTTTGGGCCCTTAACTTCATAAAGCCCAATGGGCTAATACGGCTGCTTTTTTTTCAGGCCCACTCAGCATTTACAAATGGCAAAAAAATCCGTAATTTATATATATAAAAAAATGTCCATGAGCAATAACTATATACTCTAAAAGGAAAAAAAAAAATGGAAATAATTAACTAATTTTTCATAATAAATTATAAATATAAAATATAATTTATTTTAAAATAATATTATTTTTGCAAAAAAGCTTTATTTATTAGGAATCATAAATGCAAATTGACCGATGAAGAGATTAATTATTATAAGATAAGTTCAATGAACTAAGAAACTAATTACAATTAAAGTGCTGTGGAATCCATTAATATTGAAATTAATCACTGCTTAAAACTAATTCAAACACATTCATCAAAACCCACTGTTAAACGATCCCACGTGCTCAAGAAAAATAAATGAATTCAACTAAAAAACTTAGGTCCATTTAATATGGTAATTTAATTTAATTTAATTTAGTTAGTGGGGTTGGTGCAGAAATTTGCGAAAAAGATAGTGGACAGGTTTCAACGTAAAATCAAACATGCAAATTAAATATATTATATAATTAATTTACACGCTTAAAAATGGGGTTTGAATGGGAAGTTGGAATTGACCCTTTCTTTTGATGGGGATGAGAAAGAGAGACAGAGATTGAATGAAATTGGGCGAAGGGAATTAACTTGGGACACATTTTCAAAAGTGGAGAGACTCCGACAGCAACTTTGAATTATTTGATTTGATTTCACATTTACAAACACTGGAATATTAATTACAATTCAAAATAAAGCATAATTAGGGGGAAATAAAATTATAAAATTTACACCTATATTTAATTTCATATTGTGATAAAAACTATTTATTAACACTCTGTCTGAAACATTATATTTATTTTTATAATTTTAGTTTGGGACATCTCTAAACATGTATCGACTATAATGCACTATTAAGATTTTATTTCTCGGTTAAGAAATAACTTTTTAAAATTGAAGTTTTTAGATTCTACTTCAGTCGTCAACTTTTGATCGGTTGAATTAAATTCTCAAAGACTTGTCATTTGCTCGCCATTGGCACGTGAGATGCCTATTAATATTTTGTTTTAAAAATATACATTAAAACTATAGATCTTTAATTATTTTAAAAAATAAAAAAAAATATATAAAGATTGACATAATTGAAGATTGACCAAGAACATTGGAGTCAACTTCGTGTGAAGTAGGGTTTCGTAAAAATCACCAATTAGTTGGATATCTCGGTCTCTTATGTGTCATTAAATACGAAAATTCTTTTTCTTTTTCTTTTAAAATTCCTTGTAGACGACGTTGACCCCAAAATTTTAATTTTAAACAAATTATTGTTGACAATAACAGAAAAATGAATTGAATCAGACCAGCCGCAATCTCGCATTTACTTGTGTTCCAAAGTGTGCCGACGTCTACTAAACATCGACATATTTTACCCTTGAATCCCATATGTAATTTAATATTTAAATAATAATAATCATAATCAATGATGAACTTTACTTCTCATCAGAGATTCATGGTTAGACATTTGTTTTAAGTTTTTAAATTTTATTAGAAGAAATACATTTGAAGATAGTTATTATGATAAATCTATAATAGAATAAATTCAAGAACTTAAAAAATTATTTTAATAATATAAAATAGGTAATAAAATGGTTGAAAATAAATTTTAATAACATTTATCCTGCGATGCTAAATACACTTATTCGATGTTCAATATTCTTTTTTTAGACATCAGGAACCAAACTGCCTATCCTGGAGCAAATAAGGGTTCAATAAAAAAGGGATTAAAACAGAATTTGAAAGCTAGCACGAGTTTCCAATTATGGAATGGAATTATAACCGCTCCAAATTTTGATTCTTCTCAAAGGGGCCGAGCCTGTAATCAGCCAATTTAGTCTTGTACGCCGCCGTTTTATATTCCCTCCAGTAGAATTCCTTGTACAAGCTCTCTTCTCCGTCTCCCAAAATCTGTGGCAATGGCGCAATCTTTTCACTCAACGCCGGCCCTCCAAAGTAAATCATTGAAACCCTCTCGTTGTTAGAATCCGCCACCACTTTGTGCTTCACGCTTCGGAATCTGCCGTTGCTCATCACCTGCAGCGCGTCGCCGACGTTCACGAAGAACGCCGCTGCGTCCGGTGGCACTGAAACCCACTCGCCGTCTCTCAGGCAGATTTGTAGACCGGTCGAGTTGTTTGATCTTAACAGTGATATGATTTGTGGGTCTGTGTGTTCGCCGAACCCGATCATGCTTTTTCCATCTACAGCTTGGAGTTCCGGACATGGCGGATACCGGTTCACTCTGAAACAACAATCGCTTTTCTCCTCATTTAGAAGCTTGCTTATTGTGTTTCGCGGCTCGATTTTTAACTCCTCTGCTATTAGCTCCGCCACTTCGCAGCTCAGCTTCTTCACCGCCGTCACGTACTCCTTCACGGCAGCGCTACACAAAAATTAGCATAAATTATCAAGATATTAATCGACATGATCCTCGTTCGATCACCATTTTTAGAATCCAAGACAAATCTTCAAATTCTATGAAAAATATATTTTATTTTACAAATTTGGGTTAAATTCAAAGAAACAGAGTGCTCAATTTTGTGTAACTTACATTAAAGATTCGGAGTTTGGGACGAAAAGAGGGAGAGGATTAGCATTTAGGAGGAGATATTCAATCCACCCCTTATCGCCATTAGGGCCGATATTTTTGGAGCCATAGCCTAAAGGGTAAGGGGGACGAGCTTTATCTTTCTCAGCCTGAGAAAGACTGAAAAAACGGAGGGCTTCATCCTCAAGTTTGGTCATCAATTCGATGGGAACTTGATGGCTTACCACCTTAAAGAAGCCAATTTCTTCGCAAGCCTTGACGATGTGGGACTTGGCGTCAGGGTCTGCGAGGTCGATTGCCGGAATATTGGCGGCGGCGGCGGCGGGTTTACATGTTGCTCGGAGAAGAGAATATTTGGCTAAATCCAATGCAGGCTGAGAAAGAACAACCATGGCGGATTATATGGTTTTTCTTAATAAAGAATTGGAATTGAGATTTGATGAAAGAGCTACAGACCCAAGAACACTTCGTTGAGCTTCGTATTTATATATATATATATATATATTTTTTTCTTGAAACTTGCAATTATTTAAACATTTTTAAACAATAAGAAATTTAATTATTTTCTCCTACAATTAAATTAGAATTCATGAGTACATTTCTTCTATTTCCAATTTTGAAGAAAGTGATAGATAGAGAGATTGTAATTATTTCAAAGATGGAAAGAGTGTCAAGTCATTTATATTAGAAATGAAAATCAAAAGTCAATTCAAGCAGATTCTTTAATAATTTAAATTTCATTTAATTTTCAAAAGATTCAATTAAGGAAATAAATGGTGTAATTTTGCTGTCAGTCCCATAAAAAACAAACAAAATCTGTGGGCATTCCATGCCTTCCACTTATTACTCCTCCAAATATAAACTCATACATTCCAAACTATGCTCTTTAAGGGATTCGAAGCTAAAATGTATTAAATATTTTAAATAAGTCTGATCATACGTAAATTTAGGTTAAAAATGTAACATCTCGTACCTCATATTTGGATTAGATTAAAAATGTAACATCTCGTACCTCGTATTTGGATCAGGATTCGAAATTCGAATTGGTTGCACAATCAACCCAATTCGACTTTACAAATTGAGGAAATAAAAAAGAAGGCCGGTGGAGGAAAAAGCAAGAGTTGGGCCCAAAATGGCAAAATAAGTGAATTTGTAAAATAAATATTAACAAAGAAGCTTTTAATCCATATACGGTCAAGATTGAGTTATTGGAGTGCAGCTACCGAATGCCAAATGTTCTAAGTTTAAATAATTGTTTTAAAATATGCCGAATTGACTATTGAATAAATGGTCAAATTATATATTTGGATATTAATTAAAATTTATAAATTGCTCCCAAACAAATTAAGGATCTAAATCTAATTTAAGCAAATTTTAAATTCATATCAAAACAACTCGAATCCCATACATCAAGGGATTAGGGATTATTTTAACAACTAAAGTCAACGTTTTTGGAAATTAAAATCAGATTAAAAAAAAAAACAAATAAATCTAATAAAACTAAATCTCATACAAATAAATGTACGAGGGTAGAAATGGAAGAAAAATACGGGCGTGGCCAATTTTCCTTAAAAGAAAGTCTTAGCCAATAGTTAGAGTGACGTTGTATTTATAATTATTTCTTCAAGTTTCCAAAATTGGGCATTAAATAATTTGCTTGGGAGACAAGTTAGTGAAAATTAATGTCCATTGTTGGTTTATTTCAAGACGTCAAAAATTAAATATTATTTATGGATTATGTTTTAATTTGTTCAAATTAATCATAAACTTCTTTTTTTAGTTTTTTTTTAATGATAATCAAACTTTATAAAAAGTTCGGCTAAAATTAGTTAAAAATTCAAATTTATTGTTTATTTCAAAATATACATTTTTATTATGTATATTTCATAATTATTTTTGTGATAATTTTTTTTCTAATAAGTAAATTTTTATTAAATGTTTCGAAATAAATGAAAATTAACCTTTTACTTTATTTTAAAAAATTGAATTAATGATTAGAACAATGCAAATTTAACTTAAAAAAAAAAGTTAAGATTAGGTTGAGTTTGTTATTTAACAAAAATTGTTTGAATAAAATTTTTTAAGAGTAAGGTAATATATCAAAATTTAACTTTAGGAGTAAAATTTATAATTAACTTGTAAATAATTATTTTTCGTTATCCTTCGTAAAAATCTATTGAATATTGGATGAAATAACAAATTTATTTGGTTGCATAATTTAATGAATTATAATTGTGTATTGTTTTTTTGGGACATAGTTTAGGAAGAAGATTTTCAGACGATCACATAAAATTCATTTCTTTAGATAAATCATCTTTCAATTATAAATAAAAATAAAACTTTTTTTGAAAAAAACATCCCAAAGACAATATCGTGAGATAGCTTTCCTCACCAAAAAAATTCCTTTCTTGTCAGTGAAAAAGTATTCTAGATTTGCATGAGCACTCTCGTTGAGAATGAAAGATCGAGCATCCTCGGCCAACTTTTGTGCTGATAATGACGACCCATTGGTGGCTAGCCGTTGGATTGAAAGAAAAAGATTTTTTCTTTTTTTTTACAAATTAAATTTTTTTATCTTAAAAAAAACAATTATTACTATTAACCGTCTAAGTTAGTGCTTGGACTATTGCAAATGTATCAGAGTCAGAGAGCAGACAGTTTCTATATCAATTAGAGACGGAAATGAAATATTTAAGTATGGAAACCTCTACAACCCAATAGACGCATTTTGAAATTGTGAGACTGATGACGATGCATCATGAAGAGTAAGTCGAATCCCAACCTTCTAGCTTCCGTACCCCTACAAAAGCAAAGAATCATTCTTTCATCTACACAAGTTTCATGCTTTGAAGATACAAAATCCCATTTAAATTGAACTTGTTGTTAGCCCTCTTTCGGCACCGCGAGCTCTGTTTAAGATACAAAATGAGAGATTTCTCATTAGCATTTGCAAGAGACGTTTTTCTGATGATGAAAAACTTCCTCAAAAGTTTTAAGATCCAAACCAAATATGGAACAACAGCAGGAGCCACGGCATCGAGTGTCATAATCTCCGGCATTGGTCTCATGTTGATTTATGCCTATACTCAGAGGAAAAAGGAGAAAAAAACCCAGCGTGTTTTCACAAGATCAATGTCCATAGGAGCTCTACATGGTGGCAGAATAGCCATGAAAAGAATGCTTCAGTACCAAAAAATGCGAGCAAACCAAGAAATTCAATATGATTATTTGGAGAAGTTAGAGAACACGACGAGCACAGACACTCCTGATTTCCCACATATTCAGGTGAAGCATTTAACTTTTACTATCAAACAAGCTGTGTGGATGCTTATATTGCTTGTTTTAATGTGCAAAAGACCGTTCTGACAAAGATGGAAATGAGAGGACAAGAAGACAAAGCTATTGAGATATTAAAAAAAGCAGTAAAAGAAGCCAAGGAGCAATCACTGTCATACCATGAATATGAATATCAGATGCTTCTTGTAGAAGCGCTCATTTACAAGGTGTTTCTTACTACAAACTTGTTTCTTAATCGCTCACATTTGATCCAAGAAAATGTGAATCTCAGCCTCCAAATTTGTTTTTTTTCTATGCATTTCTAGGGAGATATTGAGGAGGCAGCAAAGGCTGAATGCTTGAATCATGATGAGCCTTCAGATGTTCGACGATTATTGTATAAGGTACATAATTGTTCATATATTTCTTGTAGAAAAAGGGTTAAAAACCTTATATTTGTCTGTGTGACATTTCTTCAAACACTTGGCAGACAATAATTGAACTGCTGCTGAATAACCCCCAAAAGGCAGAAGAAGAATGGGAGAAGTTTAGGGAAATGAGAAGACATTTCTTCTTACCACCTGACATTAGAGACTCTGGTTTTTACAAGCTGGTCAACCATTTCGAGGATTTTAAACGAGTCGTCGACCTGCTCAAACAAGACATTGATCAGAAGAAGAAAACAAAATAAAAAGCAAGCAAACCCCCTCTTAACTTTTACTGCAATTATGTGAATAATTTAGGAAACTCCAAATGAAAAGAAAAATAGCGATGAAATAAAATGGAAGGACATTTCAATACCATCTATGCTTGGATTGTTTCTTCCACTTAAATTAATCTTAATGAAAAAAATATATTCATTTTACTTATTATGATAATATCCATATTATGGTATGATATTGTACGGTTTGTTTTGATTATAAATTCATGATTATTCCCTAAATGAGTGGACGTGGAACTTTTATCATAATTGATAATTGATAATAACAATTATAATATATTCTTCATTTTAATTTTCTTAAAATTGTTTTAGATGAGTATAAAATATTTTATACAGATTAATAGGGATGAGGATAATTTTGAATTTTTTAAAAATAATTTGAGTATTATTGAAACTTATTAAAATATAAAATTATTTTTGAGATAAATTTGTGATTTGAATTAAGAATTTAAAGAGGTAATAAAATTATAAATCTCGTGATTTAACAAAAAAGTAAAAAAAATAGAATGAAATAAAAAAATAGAAACGGTTATAGGTTTTGGAGAATGAAGAGAAGGGGGAGTTAAGTGAGGCAGTAGAAGACGAAAAAAAAAAAAGAATTATATAAAGGAGATGAGAAAATGGATGGGGAAAATGGGAATCCAGAGGTGTTATTATGGGGAAGCCGGGTTGGTCTACGCCTCTGCTATTCCAATCAAAGCTCTTCTGTTTCTCTCTGTTTTACCTTATCTCCTCCATTTTCCTCGCTCTCTACACTTCTTTCTCCTCCTCCAAATGCCTCTTCCGATACTCTCCCTTCGATCCCATCCAGTTCCCTCTCTTCTCCTATCCCTCCTCCTATGGCGAGCACAAGTACGCCATTCCCACCCTCCGCTCCTCCTGCTCCACCCCTATCTTCTTCTCAGGTACGATCGTGCTTTCAAAATTCGTTTATTAGGTTTTTCCTCTGTTCCGATCGATGTTCTTGTGTTTCAGATTATTGGATGGTTTTGAATGAGATCCAGGTAATGCTGTGGAATTCCTCTTGGCGGTCCTCCAATTTGAGGTATCTCGCTGGTAATGCAGATAGTTTCGGCGGCAATTTCTCTGCCGAAAAGCGATTTTCATATTTCGATGATAATATTTCTGTCCCGATTCCTTGTGGATTTCTCAAGAATTTTCCTGTGACTGATTCTGGTACAGCGAAATTCGGATCCGATATCTTCGCATTTCTTTCTCTGTGTTTCTCCGTTCGTTTTAACCGATTCTTTTTGTACGTTTTCTCAAAACGAATTTCGGCAGATCAAACTGCCATGGAGAGTTGCAACGGCGTGGTTGTGGTTTCGGCGATTTTCAACGATCACGATAAAATTCGGCAACCGAGAGGCCTCGGATCGAAGACTTTGGATAACGTGTGTTTTTTCATGTTTGTTGATGATACCACGGTGAGAGGACTCGAAAACCACAAAATAATTCCTACAAGAAACTCGTATCCGGATATAATCGGAGCTTGGAGAATCGTGAGAGTTTCAACCAAGAATCTGTACCAAAATCCTGCCATGAATGGCGTAATACCTAAATATTTGGTTCACAGACTATTTCCAAACTGTAAATTCAGTATATGGGTGGACGCCAAGCTTCAGTTAATGGTGGATCCATTGTTGTTGATTCATTCTTTAATTGTGACTCAGGATGCAGATATGGCCATTTCCAAACATCCGTACTATATTCACACAATGGAAGAGGCAATGGCAACTGCCAGATGGAAGAAATGGTGGGATGTTGATTCCTTGAAGAACCAAATGGAAACTTACTGCGAAAATGGGTTGCAACCATGGAGTCCCGGTAAGCTTCCGTATACCACAGGTAATTTTTCATTTACTTTTACCATTGGTAATTTCTCGCCGTGGTTGTTTCACTCATAATGTTCCTTTAATAAATTAGTCCCTTAGAAATTTAAAGAGATTAAAGTTTTGATTCTATTTTACTTTTTTTTGACCATATATTCAAATATAGCACTTTGTTTACCCAAACCAATTTTTTTTTTTTTTTTTTTTTTTTTTTGTTCAAATAAACAATGCATGCAACCCTTGACTTGTTTTCCTTTTACCCTCCTTGAGCAGGCAATAGACCAAAATAAACAAAGCATAGAAAGATTCCAACTGAAACACTCTTTCGTAAATTTCGTCCGCTTGCATGAATTGGATTAGGTCAAAAGGCACCAAAAATAATTTCTATGGCCATAAGTTTTGGCTATGGCTTTGCCTTTTGTAAGGTTGTAATTAAGCCTTGGGACTCACGTCTCATGCATATCATGGCCCTTCTCACGGCTTTCTTGCTTGCAATCCAAGATTTTTATTTTTTATTTTTTATTTTTTTATAAATGATGTCTATGAAAATCATAAATGAAATCTGTAATTTAAATTCCTAAAATAGAAAATGGGGCCTAAACTATTGATTTAATTCATATATCTTAGATTAAAGTTTAAAAGGTTTGAATGAAATTTTGAATTATATCTTAGATTAATATTTTCAACTGAATGTGATGTAAATTTGTATAATGCAGGATATTATTGAGTTGATTAATGAACTCAATAATATACTACAAAAATATAATGACAAAATTAATATATGTTTTAATTACTATTATTATTAATGGGAAATGCATAGAGCAATTAGTGGGAACCATTAATTATAGTTAATTTGGGTGTAAAGTTGTCATAATTATTCATCTGGTCCTTTTTGGAGAGAGTAAGGGAGAGAAAGAAGATAGTTTTTAAAAATACAAATTAAGGGTAATGGAAGCATATAATCCTCTGTGATCAGAATATTGGTCTCTCCGCGAGGCACGTGGAATCATGAAAAACCTAATTTTTCTTTTTTGCTCTTTATTTTGTTAATTTTTTTAAATCATTATTCTTTTTGTTTTGTTCAACTCTGCCATTGGTGGGAAGATCAACTCTTTCAGTATTACTTTATAGATTCTCGAAGCTTTATCTTTCAATATTTTACGTAGTCCACACATGATTTATTGTTTCCATCCCTCTATTATTTCCTATACTATTTTAAATATTAATAGCACATAATGGGAAATATATTACTATTAAATTGAGCATGAACTAGTCCAAGGCTTATTTGTTTTAATTACGTTTTTAATCATCATTTAATAATGTTTTTTTTTTAAAAAAAAATAATAATTTTGGCTTTTCCCTTGTTTTTGTTTCATCAATTTTATCTCTCTTAAACAAGTTCTATTTTTCAAAAGTAGAAAATTGAATATCAAAGGGAGACTTTTTTACACTATTTTAAATTTTTGGATGAAAAGTATTTTAAAATTTATTAATCCAACCAAAAAATAAACCATAAAGATTTAATTTTTATTTTATTTTAGTAGAATGGGTATTTTACAGATGTACCAGATAGTGCCTTAATCTTGAGGAGACATGGAAGGGGAAGCAACCTATTCTCTTGCCTTTTGTTCAACGAATTGGAAGCTTTCAACCCAAGGGACCAATTGGCTTTTGCATTTGTGAGAGATCATTTGACCCCATCCATCAAAATCAACATGTTCGAAGGAGAAGTTTTCGAGCAAGTTGCTTTGGAATATAGGCACAATCTCAAAATCAAAGCAACTCGTGGCCCTGAACTGGACCCCCAAATCTCCAAGCCCATACGAACTAAGAGGGCCGGCCCTGATTTGCTGTATGTCAATGGCAGTTGTTGCAGCAAGTGTCAGAAATATCTTCTCCAGATGTGGGGTGACGTTTCCTGATTTTACTTCTTTGTCCTTTTCTTATGCCACGTGTTTGTTCTTCCCCGGGGACAATAGCGTCAAAAGTAAAAGCTTGACAGGTCAGCCACACTACCCCTTTTTTCCTTTCTTCTATTATGGACGATACGGCGTCGTCTGGATGCCTGTGTAACGAGTGTAGGTAAATATTGGGTTTAGAATACTTACCAAATGCATTATTTCCTTTTATTATTGGAAGGTAAATATTATTTACGAAAAAAATATGAAATCGGACATTACCAAATAGATTACGGAATTTTCTTTTTGTCTAAATTATGGGAAGTCGTGACCTCTTCATTAATTAAAAACATTTTTTTTATAAATGTTATTTTTTATTTTTTGAAATTTAAAAGACATTTGTGTGATTTTCATGAGGTCGAGAATATTATATATGGTGGCGTGGAATCGTATTTCTAATTAGTTGTTATAGTCACTGGCAAATTCAAATTTATGAATTCGCCCCGGAAGAACACAAAATCTCATAAACTACCCAAAAGCGGACTATAAATGCAAATCCTTGATCCAACGAATGTGAATTACCAAATCAAGACCCCGGAAAAATGTCGACGCAACTTGAGATCCACAGAGCAGACGCCGAGATCTACCATGGCGACGCTATCTGCAAGCAAAAATCTCAAGAACTTCTCGATCAATTCTTTCTTCCCCGAGGACTTCTCCCCTTAAACGACATCCTCGAGGTCGGCTACAATCGGACCTCTGGTTTCATCTGGCTCAAACAGCAGAAGAAAAAGGAGCATCGATTCGTCGCCATCGGACGCACCGTCTTGTACGACACCGAGGTTACCGCCTTTATCGAGGAGCGCCGCCTCCGCCGCCTCACCGGAGTTAAGAGCAAGGAGTTCTTCTTTTCGATCACCGTTTCCGATATTTATATTGATGTACACAACACGAGTAGGATCACGTTTGGTACTCTGACTGGAATTTCCAAGTCTTTCCCGGTCTCTGCGTTTCTAATTGAAGAAGGAACTGATCAGAAGAAGTAAAAATAATTGGGGAACGAAGGAAAGGATCGGTGAATTCTACAAAATTACGAGTCAATTCGGGTAATTTGATGATACAAATCTATGTTCTCTTAAAACTAGGGCACAGATCTCCTGCTTATTTTAGTTCAATTAGTATGAATTCGGTTGCAGAAAAGTGAAATTACTCTGAATTAAATTTCAATTGTAGACTTCATGTACTTTCATCTTCTAAATTTGGTGATCTTGTTGGATGATGAACGCTAGTGTTCGAATCTCCCAAGGTGTTTTAGTATTGTAGAAGTTAAGTTCATCTTCAATTGCGGCTGTTCAAATGAAAAACTTGAAATCCAGAAATTGAAGAACACAAAAACTCATACGAAATTTCTTGCCTGTTCGTGATAAGCAATTGGCATCTTTCACAAAGAATGAAGTATATTAGCAAAAATTCCCACTGGAATCTTGTTCTGTTCTTATGTGTGGTGGGAAATTGGGATCATCAGTGACAGCCACTCATAGAACACTGAGAATTTGATGCCCAAACTGAAACTGGTATTTTCTTTTCTTCTCTTCCCTTTCTTTGGGGGGTTTTTATTTTCAATATAAGTCATGACATTTCAGCCAAAAGCTGATTCCTCAGGCACCCATTTCAGCCAAAATCTTCGACAATCAAATTATGAGCATAAAAAAATGGATGATTTAGACAAAAATGAGATCTATAAGTTCATCATGCAGTCCTTCCTATTTTTAATTGTTTGGGGAAACAGGGCAACCTGGCGAGATATGATTGGTCAAGGGCAGAACTTAAAATCTGGATGACTTCAAATGTCCGCAACAAAAGTTGACATATAGCTCAAACTCAGCTACATGTGAATTTCTTAACGTTGTCTTTTCCATAGGTAGATTTGGTCGTGTACCAATATCCCAAGCTTTTTCATGTGTATAAATATTTTAAATTTTATTTTAATCTTCGAAATTTCAAAATAAATGCTTTTATTTTTATAAAATAATTTAAATTCGTTGCATCTAAATGAACGTACATCTCGAAAAAAGCCAATTCCATTGCATGCATGAAGTGCACGCTACGAAAATCAAATTCCAATAATCCAAGCAACTTCACATGCTTTTACTTTTTATTTTTATTTAAAATATGCATATTCCTATTTAGTGCATTTTCAAGAAAGCAAGTTCAAAACATAACGACAAAAAGAAAAAAAAAGAGTCAAAACGAGGTCGTTTTGTTCCATCTTCCTTCCTTCTTCAGATTCTGAATAATATACGAAAGGAAAAAACATAACAAACAAAAAAGAACTATTTTCTTTTCTTTTTTCTTCTATTTATATATATTATATGGAGACCATATATTAGTCTTTGAATTTGTCACATTTCCAAGAAGAGGGAAATTTTATAAGCAGAAAAAATGAGCAAGAAAGATGAAAAATCTCCTCCATGGAAGAATAATCAAGGATTGGTTGCAGAAAGATGGCAATAAAAGGCAACAAATTCAGGATTTTCGTTATGGCAAGGAGACGAACCAGAGGGAGGGACCAATCCCTTCGGAAGCATCGCAGAAAAAGCCGTGGCCTTATTCTTTTTCTTCTTCTTGTTGGTCTCCATTTGTAATTTCTTGGCTGTGAATGTGGTGGTGGGTGCGCCGACGTGGAGGGTGGTCCGATACCGGTGATGAGCGGCGAGGTTGGGGCGGCGGAGAGGAAGGGGTTTAGCGGATGAGGAGGAAATTAGGAGAAAGAAGAGGATGAGAGAGAGAGAGATTGAGAGGTAGTAGAGGTAATTTGGTGATGGGGAGGGTTGAATCTTGAAACCCATTTGACTTGAAAAGAGAGAGAGAGAGAGAGAGAAAAGAGAGGGTTTGGATGTTATAGTGATGGTGCATTTAATTTGTCTTTGCGTGTAGTCAATGGAGCCGAAAATTAGAGAGAGATTAAAAGAGGGAGAGATTTGTCCGGAGGGAGGGGCGTGGAGAAACGTTATGCTATTTGATGCATAAAGGTCCATTTATTTGATGGTGTTTCGTGTCACAATTGCACTCTTAAAGTAGTGGAACAACGATTGCATAACATTTGTTCTAATCCAGTTAAGAAATTAATTGTGATACATTCAGACTTTACAAACAATATCAGCATATGTTCGAGCCTTAGGATACGTTTGAGATAAATGTTTTGGTAAATATGTTAAAAACAATTCGAAAAAAAACAAGATAGAGAATAAAATATTGTTGAAATTATCAAAAGATATTTCAATTCATGCCACATTGAATAAGTATGAAGTTTCATGTTATAAATTTTGGGTGGATTACAATTTAGACAAACATAATCGTAACATCCGACACAGTCCCTTAGCGAATACTATTTCGACGAGTCAAGATCAAGTATTAACCACAATTTTGTGTTTGGTTCAATTTAATCCAAACTAGGAATTGTGTATTCATAGAATTAGAGGTTAAAACGGTCACCCATCAAGCATTTTATAATTAGGTTAAGTTCAACAACATTATGGCAACTATAATATAAATAAATTAATGTCTACCACGGTTGAAAATAAAAATGCAATGCCACATCACAATCCCTAATGGGTAAATTTTGTTTTTTAATTTATTTTAAAGGTAAAATTTATTTATAAATATTAAAAGAGAAGGGGAAAAAAAAAAAAAGAAAAAAAAAAAAGATGCCAGTTCGCTTCTCATTTCTACTTAATGTCAAATTGTCGATTTTAGCGGATGTATTAATTGGTTTCAACTTACTTTCACCTTGTTCCTCTCTTCCTCTCTTCCTCTCTTTCCGTCAACGACCCGAAAACCTCTCTTCTTGTTCTTTATCAATCCATAAGTTCAATTGCCGCCAATCAATTTCCCGCTCAAAATTTTCCGATCTTCTCTACTGAAAGTCATCGATCGGACGATGTAGGAAGAGTACTAGGAATCCGTTGCCATTTTAAATATCCGCGTTTCTATCTCTTTCTGCAACTCAGGCCTCCGAGCGTAGTAGCGGAGAGGAGGCCAACCGTACGAAATACCTAAACCGCGATCCAATTGAATATGCGGAGTTCTCTACCGTACTCTGTGAAGGATGTTCATTACGACAATGCTAAGTTTCGACAGAGATCCTACTTCAAGGTCTTTCTCTACTAGATCTTAACTTCTTGCTCCATTTCGATTGCGTGAAATCTGATTGCTTATCTTGCGTGTGTGCGATTTTTTATTCGGTTAATGTTTGGATGAATTGGCAGCTCTCTAGTTGCATTCTTGCGATGAGTACTTCTTAGTTCTTATTCGTTCCTTTCCTTGAACTTTGATTGTGCTTGGATTTACTTTTGACTTTCCAGGTTCAATTGTACTTACTAATGCCGTTTACTTTATTTAAGACTGCGATGTTGGTTCGAGATGAATCTCAACGGAATTGATCATCTAGATTTGATTGAATAGTCATTTTCGTGGGAAATATGTTCATAATTATTGAAAATCATCATAGAAAAGCAAGATTGAGGATATTTTTGTTTTGTGAAATAACCACGAGTTATGTTGCTAGTTTAGGTTCTACGCTTATTGAAAATCATCATAGAAAAGCAAGATTGCGGAGTTTAGGTTCTATGCTTACTTGTCTGTTTTGTGAAATAACCACGAGCTATGTTGCCAGTTTAGGTTCTACGCTTACTTGTCTGTTTGTTGTGATCAACCTTTGATCTGTGGCACAATGGATGTGAGGTCCTTTGTTATTGATGTGCAATTATACTACATTCTGAAACGTATAATCGGCGGCTGGTGGTTATACATGTTATCTTCTGTTACGGTAAACTTCAGACCATTAGTGTTGGATGACTGCGCAAACAGTATGACAGAACAGAGAAGAGGATTAACCAAAAGTATATTCCAGATTTTTTCAAGAAAGAATAAGTTTACATCTCCTTTTCACATGCCTGAAATTGGCTCTATAGTAGATATTTCATGAGTAGAAATTGCTCCTTCCTAAATTCTCCTTACATGTTGAACTGCTCGTCTGACACTTGAGGCATGCGACTTATCTCCTAAATACTACTCTCTAGTTGTTGTGAGATGGTTGTTATTGGAGACCATGGGAACTGTATACATTTTCAAATTTTCAAATATTGGATATAGTAATTAGCAACCTCATAATTTAATGTCATACGATAGACACTAAGATTGTATTTTGGTGGTACAAAACTTTGAATATTAGATCTTATCCTAAAAGAAAACCTTTGAATTAATCAGAATTGTTTATCAGAATTGTTCGTTTTAAGTATCAATCTTGTAGTATTTTGATATGGATTGACATTGTTTTTTCTGCGTTACGACTCAAAAATATCATCTCATTTTGTCAGGTGATGACTCAGAATTTATTCACTGGTAGCAGAAAACGTGATTATCTAAGTTGTAGTACGGGGAAGTTTCTAGTATTACTTTTGATATTTGGCTTGGCATATCTTTTATTGACAAGTACCACTCCAGGCGATTTTGTTCCCAATCAACTGGACAAAGTTCGTGAAAATAATCAGAAAGGAGAGTTCAAGAATAATGGTGGCATCAACTTTAGGAATTTATGGAGAAAACCTCCTAGGCTTCCTCCTAGATTACCACCAGATGAAAAAGGTAGCAATACTAGCTACCACATCGATCCAAATACATTAATCTCTGAGTCTTTATGGATTTCAAGGCAACAGAAAGTTAAGGATGCTTTTATCCATGCATGGTCCGGCTATAAAAGGTATGCAATGGGGCATGATGAACTCATGCCACTGAGCCAGCAAGGAACTGATGGGTTAGGAGGTTTAGGTGCTACGGTTGTGGATGCCCTCGACACTGCCATGATTATGGGTGCAAGTGATATTGTTTCTGAGGCAGGCTCATGGGTTGAAAAACACCTTCTGGATAGAATTAAGGAAAAAGGTCAAGTCAATTTATTTGAAACTACCATACGTGTTTTAGGTGGTCTTTTAAGTGCATACCACTTGAGAGCTGGAGAATATGGGAAGACCTTTGAAAATGAAGGACCTAAACCAGCAGTTTATCTAGAAACTGCTAAGAATTTGGCTGATCGTTTGCTAAGTGCTTTTACCTCCAGTCCAACCGCTATTCCTCTTTGCGATGTTGTTTTAAGAGATTCCTCGGCTCATGCAGCTCCTGGTGGATTAAGCAGTACATCCGAAGTTTCCACTTTGCAGCTGGAATTTAATTATCTTAGCACTATTTCAGGCGACCCAAAGTATTCAATTGCTGCTATGAAGGTTTTGGAGCACATGAAGAGCCTTCCAAAGTTAGAAGGTTTGGTTCCCATCTATATTAGGTATGGACCTTTTATATCTAACTATAAGCATGGTTACTTTAATTTGGACTATGTCTCTGTCTAAACATGTGTTAAACTTTTTATATGTTTTTTGTTCTGATCTATGGACGCATCTGAAAATATAAGATGAAAACTATGAATGCTTTTGTAAACTCTGGCTTTCATCTGGATTGATAGAGCTTATCTCCACACACCTTTTTTGGTATCTCTGTATTTCAGTATTTATGAATTACATACCTATTTATGTGTGCAATCAATTGAAAGAATATTACTGGCATGTATTTGATATGGAACTTTCACTTAGCTTTTATTAATATGTCAATATATGTCTGTCTTCTCATTGTGGAAAAATGAACACGCGATTATTTGGAATGCAAAATTTTGTGTATCGAAATCATTGAAATGTGTCAAAATATACATATCTAATAATGTATCCTAACAAACATGTCCCTTTGTCAATAATAATCTTAATTTTCTTTTGACCAGCTGGAAATATGTCTTAATGTTCTTTTGTCAATAATAAAATTGATTTCATTATTTTATTAAAAAATACATATCTACTTTCATCGGAAATTCACAATATACTACATTGATAGTCTTTTTAAGACTTGACGTCTTGTCATGTAGTGTTATGTCCATGCTTAGCAGTGTCTAAGATATGGCTACTGTTGAACCTTTTGGAATGTTGGCAAAATTTTCTTTCCAATCATGAGACTTGATGCCTCTGCTTTCAAGAAGTGAAAAGTAAATTCCATGGGTTAAAAGTCTATGGAACAATGGCAAACGTTTAATGCTTGTAAGTTGTATCAGTTTTATTTTCTTTTTTCGGGCACTTTTGGTCTTGTGGATGTTTGTCCTTTTTGAGCACTAATCCTGAAAAGGTTCACTTTGTATTTCATATTTAAATTTTGAGTTTTAGCGGTTGAATTATTTCATCAGCTATATCTTTTATTGCAATGTAGAACGTGGTTCCTTGCGCCATTTTAAAACTCCTGGTGCTTTTTTATTCTTGAAAGGTTTCTTTAAATTGGAGAATACGGCAATGACCAATTTACTTATTTTCACGTAATTTTCTTTTCAATTGCAGCCCTGATTCTGGTCAATTTAGTGGAGAAACAATAAGACTGGGATCCCGTGGTGATAGCTACTATGAGTATCTACTCAAAGTGTGGCTTCAGAAGGGAGCGAGAGAAAACAATAATCTCACTTATCTACATGATATGTACGAAGAAGCCATGAAAGGTGTTAAGCATCTTCTTGTTCGGAAATCTGTCCCGAATGGATTGGTTTTTGTTGGAGAATTGCCTTATGGATCAAGTGAGGCCATTAGTCCAAAAATGGACCACCTGGTATGTATTCTTTCCTCCTCTATCTAATATTTTCTTATCTGGTATTAGTCCAAAAATGGAACACTGACTCTAACTGAGAAATAATTTGGAAGATCATTCCCCAAATTTGAGAGTTGATTGATTTTTCTGCATATTGATCCGTCTATAGTATTCAGCTTTGGAATATCCCTGGATGTTCTGAAATATGATTTCAAGTTTGGAAAAATAATTTGAAATATATGATTGTCGACATAGTATTAGCCGATAAACTTATCTTTCATTCACCCTCAAGGTCAGTATTTCTGTAGTATGTCAATAGAAACAGTCCATTATCTGCTTGTCATGTATTACTTCATTTCAATAGTCCTTGTGTTTATTGTTACAGATTTAGGATGTTAGGAATTGTGTAGTTTATAGTTTCACCTCCTTAAGTCATTATACAAACTTCTTTCTCCACCACCCCTGTGAACGGAGGAGTATAGTAGGCTGTTCAATCTGTTTCTGTCCAGTAACAAAAGTTTTATGCTTTAGAGTTTCTTTTAGTTTCCTCTGTACAGTTTTTCCATCTATTCAAATTGTTAACATTTAATAGCTAGCTATTTGACTGAGCCAAAATTTCATGTTACTCGTACGAAAGTAGGGAAATGTAAATGTCATTGCCAACATAAATATATCTTCCCGTGCCCTTGAATAAATACTAGGAGGTAGGAGTAAATCCGGCGTTATCCTACATCAATTATGGAAAAGGATAGGTGTTGGTTTTTCTTTTTATAAATAATAAATAAAACTAAAAGTAACCACAAGTTGGAAGTCCTTTTTGATATCCGCCTAAGATAGCTGGGTTCTTCGGAATCATTTACTGTACATTTCAATTAATGAAATATCGCAGCTGATCGAGTTTACACCTGCATACATATATATACATATATCAAGACTTCATTTAATTCACAAGCTCAATGAGTTAACTAAGGTTGCATATTTTCTTTCCAAAAAATAGGTACGTATATATAAAGGGATCTTATATTAAGGCTTGAAATGAATAACTTCCATCCTTCAGATCATTGGTAATCTGAGGAAAGCAATGTGACTGTTTTGAAAAAGTACTTGACGAATAAACTTGTGCCTATTTTAGGTCTGTTTCTTACCCGGTACCCTTGCTCTTGGTGCCACCAAAGGCATTAGCAAGGAAGAATCAATGAAAAAAAGCTTGTTGAGCTTTGAGGATCTGGAAAATCTAAATCTGGCAGAGGATCTGGCAAAAACTTGCTTTGAGATGTATGAAGTAACCGCAACCGGTCTTGCCCCAGAAATAGTTTATTTTCATACTGAGGTAGGCTCTATAATCCATTATCTATTGTAAATTTGTTCACTACATCTTTCTTTTCCCCATTTGTTCGTGCTGTCCTGAGACACTAGGGTCATTACTTGTCCAGGAATACTCTGAAGGCGGCCATGATGGCGGAAACAAGAATGCGAAATATATTGATGACATAATAATCAAGCCACCTGATCGTCATAATCTGTTGCGGCCAGAAACGGTCGAGTCATTATTCGTCCTGTATCGTATCACTGGTGACCCAAAGTATGTCCTCTACATTAACCATGCTTCTTTTATTGTTGATTAACAGTTGTTATATTCACGTGGGATGAAAAAGATGACTGATTTATGTGAACGTATGTATGGCAGGTACCGTGCATGGGGCTGGCAGATTTTCGAAGCATTCGAGAGGCACACGAAGGTTAATACTGGTGGATATACATCACTGGACGATGTTACTACAGTTCCTCCCCGGAGAAGGGACAAAATGGAGACATTCTTTTTGGGGGAGACTCTCAAGTATTTGTACTTGCTTTTTGGAGACAATTCCACGATTCCGTTGGATAAATATGTGTTCAATACTGAAGCCCATCCGCTACCAATTGAAACCAACATTCAGAAGTGATACCAGATTTACGTTTGACGTAAAAGGTATGTTTCTTGTACTTTTTTAAATATTTGCAATTTCAAAGAAAATACGAAAAAAATATAATTACGATTATGCTCTTTAAGATAGGGTAATTATGATTAAAACTTTCTTTTTCAGTAAATTGCAAATTAAATAGTTAATTTTTAATTTTCTATCTAATAGATTCTTTTACTTAATATTAAATAGGTGTCATTTTCAATTTTCTTTAATTGATTCTTGAACATAACGGGAGTCTTTTAATCAAATAAAATACTAAACTTTTAATTTTGTGTTTAATATATTCATAAATTTTAAAAAATATTTAACATTTTAGTTTATTAGACACAAAATTAAAAGGAAAATGAAGATTAAATCCAAAGGTTATATCCTGTAATTCAACATTAAGAAATGAAGAGAAGGTAATTATTTTTTACTATATTTAAAAATGTTGTTTAAATTATAATCTTATAATACTTTGTCTAAATTAGTTTAGCAGATAATCATTATAGCTCACGGGAAAAGTCACGGGGAAATGGAAGAGAAGGTATAACTTGCCAAATCAGTCGAGGAGCAATAACAGGTTTCTCCATAATTTACCCTTTTAATGGAATTATAATTATTTTTTCGAAATATATGGTTTTTGTTTTTCTAGTCTCGGAATCATAGTCTAGCTTACAGACAAATTTGAACCATGGTTAAATTTGTGCACATGCAACCATTTTTTCCAGTTTTTTCATCAATTAATTGTTTTGAATTACTGAGTTGAATATGAATACGAACTTGTAAAATGGTTCCCTTTGTTTCTTCAATATCTATTCATTGGCGCTTATCCAAAACCAATTCACTGCACGACACCGAGAATAAATCGAATTTATGTTTTAATAAGAAATATATTATAATAATTCCGAAATTAATCTAATGTATAATTTGAAAATTTAATTTAGTCTGGTTTATTATTATTATTGTTATTTGTAATACTACCTCAAAGAAATAGTTTCGATATCCATGTTTAGAAATGGAATTTTCTTTTTTTGTCAAACTACTTTCAATTAAATTATGAAAGCATTAATTAATTGAATGCAACTAATTTGCATGAAGTAACAACTGCTACATTTTTTTCTAGCCTGAAATATAATTCCTATTAACATATAAAAGAAATGAAGGTTTACTCACAATTCTCGAACTGTCTATTTTTGGGGGGAAAATATCCAATTCAAAAAATGCATGAATCGTAATCATAATAAACCAAGTAGCTTTGCAGATTATTCACCGTAGGAAGAATGTATGCAATCCCCTAAAATGGTGCAAAGAGAATCTCTATTTTCTTTTCTAAACCCAACCAATATTACCGTCGTTCCCCTTCCAAAATGCAAAGAACCAAGAAGAATGAACGACTTCCCAACCTGTCCGTTCATGTTATGATCGTTATAAATTAATTGCAAAGGTTTTGGCTAATTGCTTAAAGATCTTTCTTGAGCATGTTATCTGAAAATCAAAATGCTTTTGTTCTAGGACGGTTAATAGCGCTAATAATGTCATAATTGCATATGAATGTCTTCACCACATTAAGCAGTCAACTACAAAAAGGTCTTTACATCTTCAAAGCTGGACATGAGTAAAACATGTGATACAGAGGAGTGAGGTATTTCTCTCCATTGTTTGATGAATAGAATGGGCTTTGATGGTCGTTGGATTAATCGTAATAGCACGTGTATGGACTTTCTTTTCAATTTTTTATTGCACAACTAGCTTTAAGTAGGTTTAAGACAATGAACCCCTTGGCTCTTCATCTTTTCCTCATTTCTGCTAAAGGTTTGTCGAACCTTCTCCGACAAACAGGATTTACTAAGAAGAAAATTGGTTTTAAATTTACGAGAACACGTAATATCTTTCATCTTTTCTTTGCAGATGACAATCATCTATTTTTCAAGGCAACTGAAAATGAATTCTAGAACACATTTACAGGTGGTAAGTGACCAGAAGTATTTAGGCGTCCCGTTTTTTTCTTGCAAGAATAAGCATGCTTCTTGAACCTTTCTAAATCAAAAGATGTACGAGGTGTTGCAAGGGTGAAAAGGCTAATCGTTCTCAAAAGCTGGATATGATATTATGATTAGGCAATTGCTCATATCCCATTTTAGCCTATACTCAAACTTCTGGTGACAATGTCCAAGGATATAAGCGTGTCGGGTTTCTAAGATACGGAACACCTTTCAACAAGGCTTTGCTAGCCAAACATACGGAACACCGACCTTCCTAGATGTGGAGAGGGATTCAGTGGCCTAGAGAGTTGGCCATGAAAGGAGGAACGTAGGAAGTGAGAATCGTGAAAATATAGATATTTTCAACTACCAATTTGTTTGGGGAGAAAAAGAAGAGGCATAACAAAGACCCCATTCAATGGGCTCTCGATTGATTATAACACACTTCTACAAGCCTTCTATCGTTATAACACACTTCCGAGAGCTCGAGTTTAAACAACTGTAAACAACAATAATAGATGGATGCCTCCAGATAATGACGACTCTTTCAAACTTAATTTAGATGCCTCTAGATCTCTCGGCATTGCAGGATTTGGTGTGATTGTCAGAAATTCTAATAGCGAAACTATGTTAACGACTCGACATGGTCAAAACTTGTCCAGACCCGTTGAACTCGCTCTAGCTCTAGCACTTCTATCGTTATGGGTTTGAAACTGATTTGTTAATTTTGTGGAATTTTGTTGAAGGGAGAAACCTTTCCAATAATGATGTACAACTTATAGTTGAAGAAATTTGGGCCTATCGCCAACAAGGACTTGTTCGTGGCTTCCTTTTTGCCCCAAGATGTTGCAACACAGTGGCTCATACTCTGGCTAGTAGTCATAAAAGAAAAAACTAGATAAGTATTTGGATCGAAGAACATCCTACTGAGCGTTTGAGATTGTTCTAAGGGAAGATTTACCTCCTTTAATCAGTCTTGTTTTCTTTCTTTGTACTCGACGACAACAACAGAAAAAAGAGAAAAAAAAAACCTATGTGATTTCTATAATATTTTTTATACTATTAAATGTTTAAATTTAATTCCTAAATTTTTAATAAATCTTAAAATTAGTATGAGACAGTGTATTTATTATTAATTTTTCTTTAGAAAATATCTTAACCGGAAGATCACTACAATATCCAAAGGGGTGATAAAGCAATACTGACCTACTCTCTTTTGATAATTTGCTCCTCTCCCAAGTCCCCGATAATTGCATCAACGCGCTTCTGTATTGAAAAATTAGAATTCTTATGGTCAGAGATGACGGATAATCAACTATTACACAAAGTATACTGGTCAACCTACAATGAAGAAATCTACTAACGTGGAAATGAAGAACATTTCGACACCAAATTCTCACGATAGGTTGTTAGAACCAAATGTGTGGGAATGCAAGCAAGGCATACCAAAATTCTTAGATTGATAAGAGAATAAAACATGCAAGAAGAGACGAAAGCTGATAGTTGACAAGCAGAAAATATTACGCACGACCAAAATAACTGGAAATGTTACTTATTAATCCGAACTACTGCAATGAATTTCAGCAGCATACCGTTCCTAGAATTAGATCTTACATTTCTCCATCTTAACAGATTTTGCACTACCTCCCGAAGCAAGGGGTTCAAATTTCAAATTAACATTTGAATACAGGCATTTAACAATAACTTAGACAAAAGTCAATATCAGGATGTCATCGAGTTTAGCAAAACTATTAGATAGAGCACCATAGTTGAATGTGAAGAAAAAAAATCGTCCAAACTATTAAAAGCAAAAGAATGCACCGAAAGGCAGAGGAAGAAATTCTGAAGAACTAATTTGATTTTTTTCCAATTATATGACGACGCCGCCTGAATTTTCATTTCTAGTTCGACGCAGACATAACTAATCCCTTGTTTTAATCCGGTTTATAAACAAACACTATTGGCCTAATTGAGTTATTTAATATTGCAGACGTAGATATCACCAATCCCTTGTTTTAATCCAGTTTAAAAACAAACACTATTGGCCTAATTGAGTTATTTAATATTGCAGACAAGTGGCCCCATATGATTCGAACCATCGTCACTCCCTCTTAACCAAATCCAAGTGGCGTCTCGCCATAACGATCCTAGGAGATTAGCTGCAAATATAATGGCCCAGTTTTTCTTTACCATGCTCTAGTAACTCGTTACTCGGGCTAAACAACGAATAAAATTCTCCGTATCGTCACAAAGTAGCTTTTGGCCGGATTAGTTATATGAATATTTGTATGAGGTCGAAGTTAGCAATGGAACCAAACAACTTCACAGTTGAAGAACGCTAGGACACTGTAAACTCACAACATACTGAAAAGAACTGAGACAGAAACGTACCTTTCAGCAGTGAGGTAACCAACTCTTTTCCGAACGTTTGCATTTGGCTCTGCTGGATCTTGCCTCACAAGAATAGGACCAAACAGTTTGTAAACAATTGAATCTTCTTTCAGCAAATCCAACTCCTGCATGAGGCAAAAAAAGAATGCAAGAATTAAAAACGGCTTAGACGCAATATAACAATCGTCTCAGACTTGACGAGGACGACAGTTCCCTTCTTGATATACACTGGAGGCAAATAACCAAAAAGATTCACTCGCTTCAATATGTAGAATACAGAATACGCAATAAAATGTGTTTCGAAACTGAATCTAATTTATTTCGCTGTGAATTATCATTCAGTGGCGCCTAAGACAATCTCAGAAACGACTCAAATAACATGAAGATATGAAGCAGAGACGGACACGAAAGATTTGACAAGAAATATATAAACCTTCAAACAGATTCGTGCTCGCTTTTAATTTCTAATAAAACAAGCAAGAAGCAGAAGAAAGCGCAAGTGAAGTGAAGATATGAAGCGGCGCCTAAGAAAGCGCAATCTAATTGATTTCACTGTGTATTATCATTTCAGTGGAGCCTAAGACAATCTAAGAAACGACTCAAATAACATGAAGATATGAAGTGGAGTCGAACACGAAAGACTTGACAAGAAATATATAAAACTTCAAACAGATTCGTGTTCGCTTTTAGTTTCTCATAAAACAAGCAAGAAGCAGACATAATCGCAAGTTAAGTGAAGATATGAAGCGGAGCCTAAGAAAGAGCAATCTAATTGATTTCGCTGTGTATGATCATTTCAGTGGAGCCTAAGACAATCTCAGAAACGACTCAAATAACATGAAGATATGAAGCGGAGTCGAACACGAACGATTTGACAAGAAATGTATAAAACTTAAAACAGATTCGTGTTCGCTTTTAATTTCTCATAAAACAAGCAAGTTACGTGAAGATATGAAGCGGCGCCTAAGAAAGCGCAGTCTAATTGATTTCGCTGTGTATTATCAATTCAGTAGCGCCTAAGACAATCTCAGAAACGACTCAAATAACATGAAGATATGAAGCGGAGTCGAGCACGAAATATATAAAACGTCAAACAGATTCATATTCGCTTTTAGTTCCTCGTAAAGCAAACAAGAAGCAGAAGAAAGCGCAAGTTAAGCGAAGACATGCTACAACCTGGAGAACAAACTTGCTTTCACCTAGTCCTGTATCATACTTCAGTCTGCCTGACAGATCATTCACCACATGAAATTTCGATTCATACATCAGATCTTCAAACCAAAAATTTCACAAGAAAATGCGTAGGATCGTAGATTCGTGGAAGTTGAGGAAATGAAATGAAATTATAGGACTGTGAAAGCAGAGTCGGACGAGAGAAAGATCGAAGTTACGATGCTTGCCTTCCTACAACTTTCTGAGATCTCTGTCTTTCATCTTGAGATCGCACGGCATCTCCTCCTTGATAATGGTGAAAGAAGCTCATTCCGAAACCTCGTCGCTTCGTTTTGCTCTTCGCTCCCTATTCTCCCGCCTTTTCTTTCGTCAGAACGGGAACAACTGATACGTAATCGTAGTGACGCCTATAGCAATGAATAAAAATACTGTAGATCAAACAATGGCAAATTCGCCTCAAATTCAAGACCATGGCATCTGGGGACATTTTCGTAAATGCACAACTTTTTATTTACTCCCAACTTTTCGAGACCACGGCTAAATATGCCAATTTCACAAGAAAAATTGGCATATTTAGCCATTTTAAAAATATTAAATTTAAGAATCCTAATACAAACAAAAATAAAACAAAATTCAACAAATCTATTAATTTTACAAAATATTTGAATATATCAAATTAACCATTTTAAAATTCATGAACTTATAATACAAAATTTAAATTACGCGCTAAGCTTTTTCTAAGTTAAAATAATTTAATTATCAATTTATATCCATGTCACAAGGCTAATAATTGTAAAAAATTATGCAATCTGAGCCATCAATTTTATTGTTATCATTACTGTCATTATTATTATTATTATTATTTTTTTTTTTTTTTTTTGTGGTGGTGCAGCAACCATAATTCATTCCTTCCCTCTCATTGAATAATGGCCATCACACGACTTAAATATGGATGGATCCCCTATCCTTCGTCACGGAGCCTTGGTGTGGGAGAAGCTGACCTACTAATACAAACAGCATCAAATTTAACTGGACCTGTATTTATTTATTTAAAATTTAAATTTTACTACAAATATTTGTTTATTTGTATTTTATATCTTATCTGCAGATTTATTTTTAATATTCTTCAATTTTATTCAATACATAACTTAAATCTTCTCTCTTATACTGACATTAATCATAGTACCTCCAAGTTGAAGGTTTTTATGAAATGATTTTCATCGACTAATTTATTTATTTATTATAAATAATTTAATGAAAATTTTATTATAATTAATCATTTTATCGCCAACTTAAATACAATCTAATATTGAATATATCAGTAAGATTTTCTCCAAGCTAAAGACTATTGAAAAGAGACTTATATAATTTTAACGATTATTTGTAAGATTTTTGGGTAATTTTTAAAATTACATAAACTAAATTTATAATGTAATCAAAATAAAATTCACACTAAATACTATTTTTAAATGGTAAATAAATACAGCCATGCTTTTAGAGTTTTGATATGTTTTAAATTGTTGCTGCCAGTTAAAAAGGCACGCGAATTTGAGTTAGAATCAGAAAAGAAAGATTCTCACTCCACAATCCTTACCATTACTCCTCCAAAAGTGGAGAGCCTATCCGCCGGCCCCACCACCACTCGGCGGTGTGTGGGACCTTTGACCAATGACTTCAAAGCAAAAACCAACCAAAAACGTAAAAAATCCATTCATAGGGCAATTTTTTTTAACCAATATTTGCAACAATTTGAATTGTAATGTTAATTTGGCAAATTTGCAAACTTATAATTATATTAATGAAATTAATAATTTTTTTTATAAATAAATTAATATAAGTCTATGTCAAATATTTGATTATTTTCAAATGGATGGCCTACATTCTTTAATAAACCTACACATGTATGAGAATTTATGCATTAACAATTTTTAAATTTATTTATTTACGACCATTTAAAATTTAATTCGATAAAATTATAAGTTTATAAGTTTATAGGCATGTAAACTAAAATTTTCTAATGAAATATAACATTAAGTTAATATACTTAAAAAAAAAAAATCATAAAAATTGAATATGTCTAATCGGTAATTAAATAAGATTAGTTTTGTATTTAAAATAAAAAATTAAAACGCCTGTACATTTTTAGAATTGAGGGCTTTTATTGTAACTAAAAAAATCGCACCACTTTCTTTTTTGTCAAATTTATAAATAAATATATTTAATAAAGTAATTTTAAATGCCCTTCGTTGGAATACAGACTCTATAAGTGGAATCTTTTGGCTAGAGAAATTCTCACTCTCACTTGCCCGCTCTACTAAACAACAGAGAGAGCTTAAAACAAACTCAGTGTTAAAAGAGAGAGAAATTTGGGGAAGAAAATGGCCGATTGCCCTAAATTTCGAATATGGTCTTCGCTTATTTTGCTTGTTTTTGCTCGTTTGGCTTCGGAAATCGCAGCTGAAGATGGTACGTTTCTCTCTGTTTTACTTTCTCTTGTTTTTGTTCTTCCATTTTCACTTTCCTCCTCACAAGATCTGATAACCTGATTTCAATTTCGCTTCCAATTGATTTTTTTCTTTCAATGTGATCTTAATTTCATAGTTTCGTTCAAATCCTGTTTCTGCTGAAAGATTTTTGTGTTCTATTGGCTGAAAATTTCTGTTCATGTTTAGTAGCTCTCGATAAGAACAGTCGGAGATTTCGGGAGAAATGGTTTTCTTATGTTCTTCACTATAACAGTGTTAGGAGCATTAAAAGCTTCATATCTATAAGATAGATTATTCTGTATGGCAGCGGCCGCTTTTTAGTTTTGCGCAACTTGTTTGTGAATTCTATGAACTATTTAGCTAAAATGGAAAGGCATTAATGGCTTACGAACATCACTCATTCCCGCAAAAACGCCGCCGCAGACGGTGGCCATACCGGTGATTGATTGGTTGCGTTGCTTCATTTGGGAAAGGGTTGAATCACTGTTCTGATCTTTACTATTTCAAAGAATCTCACTGCTTTCCACCACTGTGCCGCAGTGATATCAGTCACGATATCCCGTACGGACTATTTTTTTAAATAATTAAATTACAAATTTGATTATTAGTTTACTTAAGCCTCGCTAATATTTGATAAAATACTCCTAAATTACCTCTAATGTAGGATTATTAATATTAAAAAATTATTAAACCAAGTTAAGTTCCATTAAAGAATGATATGTTCACAACTTTTTCATTTTTTTGCCCCCTTTCCTTTTAATTTATTTATGTAGGCAATGCATTAGACTATTATTTTTATAGATTTACTAGACTGTTATCAAGTTGGGTAATTATGCCATATAGTGATAAAACCTTTTGAGCCTACCTATGTCCCTACTGGCCTTCTTTTTCTTCTTTTGGTGACGGTAAAATTACCAGAATGTACATTTTCCCGCGAGGGATTTGTCGCTTTCCTCTTACAGAAAGGGCTTCATTCTTTCCCTAAAAGGAGACTTGATCCCGAGTGATTTTCGTCATTTCACCCTATTTACCCAGATTTCCCGGTGGTGAGAGAGACCTTTTTTCCTTTCTTTTCTTTATTTTATTAGTTGGGAGAACCAATGTGGAAATGCGCTTGACCCAGTGGAACAGCTGGACCCCACGCGTTAATTCTCCCAATACGACCTCACTGATTGTCGTATTGAAGACGGTGGTACTAATAAAGTAGCCCTTAAATTCCGTACGTGGGCGCCCGTCCAATCCCTTACTTGCTCTTTCGAATTGATATGGGCGCCCTTATTCTTCCAGTTCGATCACGAGATTCTTCTACCTTTTCCCCCCTTTCTTCACAACTCGTTTCATTTTCCGTCTTTTGTTTCCCCCCAAAAGAATAAAGACAGATGATAATATTTAAATATTATTTTAGACCTTCATGCTTTTACTTTTAAATATTCATTGGATTACAAAGAAACTCTTTGTTTTATTTAGTTAAATCATAACTTCAGTTAACTTTTATGTTTAATAAATTTTAATGAAGATTGATATGTTTACTGTTTAAATAATAATTAATGGTCCATATTCTGTAAAATTCTAAAAATACTAACAAAATTTGAGTTGGAAAGTTTGCATCACATAGAATTTGTATCAAGATTTCGCAAAGAAAACTAACAAAGTTTTGTGATTAAATGCTGGACATTGTGAACGTGGTGACCAGGATTGGTGGCAAACGGCGACTTCGAGACAATCCCAACTGGCGGGTACCCAAACGACGGAGCAATAGAAGGGCCCACTACGATTCCAAGTTGGACATCAAACGGCACCGTCGAGCTAGTGGAGTCGGGGCAAAAACAAGGTGGGATGATCCTCATCGTACCGGAAGGTAGACACGCAGTGAGATTAGGGAACGACGCAGAAATAAGCCAAGAGCTGAAGGTGGAAAAAGGGGCACTGTATTCTGTGACCTTCAGCGCCGCTCGTACCTGCGCCCAGCTCGAGTCCCTGAACGTATCGGTTCCACCTGCATCGCAGACCATAGATCTTCAGACATTGTACAGCGTCCAAGGGTGGGACCCTTACACTTACGCTTTCGAACCCGAGGATGAAACGGTGCGTTTGGTGTTCCGCAACCCTGGCATGGAGGATGACCCCACCTGTGGCCCCATCATTGACGATATTGCTATCAAGAAAGTCTTTATTCCTGATAGGCCTAAAGGTATTTGACATTCTTCTGCTGCCTTCTGTGCGATTAAATGAACACTTAGCTAACCATAATTTTACAAATTTTCTTTTCGTCAAAGACAATGCGGTGAACAATGGAGATTTCGAATCCGGTCCATGGATGTTCAGAAACGGTTCACTGGGCGTGTTAATTCCGACCAATCTCGACGAAGATACGTCGTCCTTGCCAGGTTGGAACGTGGAATCAAACAGGGCCGTCCGATACATCGACTCGTACCATTTCAGCGTCCCACAAGGCAAACGAGCTATCGAACTTCTTTCGGGAAAAGAAGGTATAATCTCTCAAATGGTCGAAACGACGCCGGATAAGCCGTACACCATGACGTTCTCTCTGGGCCAGGCCGGCGACAAGTGCAAGCAGCCACTGGCCATAATGGCGTTCGCCGGAGATCAGGCTCAGAACTTCCACTACACGCCCGATTCCAACTCCTCGTTTCAGAGCGTGAACCTCAACTTCACGGCCAAGGCCGACAGAACCAGGATTGCGTTTTACAGTGTCTATTACAATACGAGGACGGATGATATGAGCTCCCTCTGTGGGCCGGTCGTTGACGATGTTAGGGTTTGGTTTTCTTCCTCTATCAGAAATGGGCCTGGATATTTGGGTATGGGAGTTGGGCTTGGCCTTTGGTTAATTATGTGGGCCTTGCTTTAGGCCTGGTTTTGAATTCGGCAGAATTGTCTTTTTTGCCTATGTGGAGTTGTGGCAAGAACCACTCTCGACCAAAATGCCTTAGTTTATATTGCGTGCTTTGCTTTAGAATTTAATTTTGCTAAGTAATGTGAGTCCGTAAATGGTAATATAGTCTCTTGCCTTTCTTCCATCTTCTTTGGTCACATTTTGGATCCACGAGTAAAAATTCAAAGGTCTAAAGTATATTCCTAAATCTAAATTTTATTAAAAATTATGTCTTATAAAATTCTAAAATTTTAATTTTGTATCATTGGTAAATTTTTAATAATCTGAATTTAGAATTTAAATTGAATAAACTGAAAATTTTAGGACTAATATGTAATTTAACCAAAATCTTCCAAGACCGATAGACCGGTTTTGTTTCGGGTCGAACAAGGAAATACTAAAATATTCCGGACCGAACCTGGTGAAGATCATACTAAACAGAGCGCGTAAGGTGTTACTGGCGCCGATTGACTACGAGGAATTGCGGGGAAAACATGGAATTCAAAAGATCTTACCCAGGACCAAATGAAATGTCCAAATTGCCCTCACCGAAGTCGGATGTTGGAGCACATTGGTATAAAAGGGCCCGCGAAAGCACGCATCGAAGCAGGAGAAACAGAGGGCGTGAAGGTACTTTGGGTTCTAAGCGCCCAACGCTGTTCTCCTCCTCACCATGGCCGGTGACGAGCCTCCATCCTCCGCTTCCACCGCTGCTGTTTCTTGCTCCGTCGGCGAGTCCATACCGTCGCCTCTGACACAAGATCCTGTCGGATCGCCTAGTCACGATGTGCCGGAGATTCAATCATTAACATCCGAAGATGATCATGAACAGGGACACGAGGGGAATCACGATCACACAGTTAGGGCCGCTGTTCTTTCGGAGGATCTGAAACACAGGATCATTAAGCAGGTAACGCTACCGCCTCTCCCCTCCTTACTCTCCATCGCGCTGCAAATTTGAACCTCGAATTTATTTCCTTCGTTAGGTTTGGTTCGGCATGAGGTTCTTGAATCCCCCATCTGGATTGCTATGGAAATTTGTGGTTATAATTTTTCTTAAAAACCACTTCCTGGACTAGGAGCTTGGATTCGGAATTGAGAATCAGTTTTCAAATCCGTTTGCCTTCATGAACCTGTATTCGATTTTCCTATATGACTTTTTGTATATGTACTTACATCGCTTAGTCCAAATAGTAAGGAAGCTTATGGTTCGGTTATCAACTTCAAGGAGCGATATGTCATGTAATTTGTGGTTTGTTACGCGACCGTAAGTAGTCTTTTAGTATAAGACCTGAAAGGAGCGTTTAGATTGTAATAATGATTACGTTTCATCTAGTTTTTCTACAACCTTGTTAAATTTATAGAGAGTGACATCATGGTCCTTATGATTGGTCTGAATGTCTTCGCAGGTTGAGTACTACTTTAGCAATGAAAACTTGCCCACTGATAAGTACATGTTGGGATTAATCAAGAAGAACAAGGAGGGTTTTGGTATGTTACTTTGGGCATTATTCTGTTTTATTGAGATTTTATTATCTTTAGATGGAAATGAAAACTCCCAGTAGTATTGACCTTCTTTAAGGGGTTGAACATGCACAACAAGTCGTGAGAAAATTTTGTTTTGTTTTGTTTTTGTATTTTTATCAATAGTTCATCCGTGAATAAGTAAGCAATAAGTAGTAAGTTACAGAATGCTTTGAAAGAGTTTTGTCATGAGCCATACTTGAATAAAACTATTGGAACTAAGTAATATTTATGTACTCTTAAGTATCTTTTCTACTGTATGATTAATGAAACCAAGAAGTTTTCAACACTCTCATTACGTTGTTGATGTGGATTGCCTTGAAAAATTGCAATTGAGCTTTTCCAAATATTTTTTATTCATGGTCTAATTTGACAACATTTTGCTATGGATAAAATTCAGGAAAGAAACCATTGTATAGGAAGTTATCCAGGGGCATCCTGGATTACTAAATAAAGTGCCTATCTGCATAGTTTAGGCATCTAGGCCTTCCAACTGTTTTAGTGGAAGGACATGCTATTTGTGTATGAGTTAGTTTTAGTATCAAACTTGAAACTAAGATTAGTATTACAAAAGGGATTACACCTCAGGGATGGCTCAGATGTTGTAACTGTTAATCCTTGGGAGTTCGATCATCTGAAACACTCTGATATTACTTGACATAACTTGTTGTGTGTGTGTGTGTGTGTATTATTCTTTCCCATAACCTTGGCATTAATGCCAATTTTATAGAATGGTTATATTTTTCATGAAAACTCGGCATGAAATGTGATGGGGTGATGATCCATGTAGGCACTTCGGACTGTTCTGTCTGAATTAAGTGTGGCTGATTGCTGACTGTTTCCTTCTCTATTTCTAAAATTATAGCCTTTGACTTGTTCTGTAGATTTTTTCACGTAAAGGACTAGAACAAACTAATGATAAATTGATTATCTCCCAATGGTTCTAGCCTTTGCTGATTTTTTGACATTGCCTGCTTGGCTTCTTTCCCTTATAATTTATTATCCTTTGCTGATTATCTCCCAATGGTTCTATCCTTTGCTGATTATCTCCCAATTGATCATCTCTTCTAATGGCATTCCTGTCACTAGCTCGTATGCAGTGTAAATAGTTATTGTGAGGCACTGGATTCTCACATTTGCTTGCTCATATGTTCATACTTGTTTCTTTATACATATTTGAAGTATGAAACTGGGACTGTCCATATCATATTTTTCCTATTTTATCCTCTTCATTTTTGTTCTTTGCTATCTCTCTATTTTTTATTTTTTTTATTTTTTGTCCAATGATTCTGATTTTTAGTAATCAATTGTACTTTAGCAATGCACAAATAAGTTATATTCATTTTCTCTTTATTTTTCTAGTTCCTGTTGCTCTTATTGCTGCGTTCAAGAGGATGAAAAAACTTACTAAAGATCATTCATTTATCGCTGCTGCACTGAGGGAATCCTCTGTTCTTGTAAGATACTCCATGCTCCCTTTTTTGCACAAGGCCATGAGCACATGTTAATTTGCCTGCCAATTGCAGGTCGTAAGTCCTAATGGGAAGAAAGTCAAGCGACTCCACCCTATTCCATTGCCTGAGACTAGGGATCCTAAGGTACTTGCTTTTCTACTTGTGAAATCAACAATTTATGTGTAACTTATAGTAATCCTATGACATTTCTTTGTGGAGTATAGTTATTTACCATTTTGGTAGAAAATCTACCTGAAGATCACTCAGAGGAGAATATCCAACGAATTTTTGGAGCAGCTGGACGGTATGCTATTCTTTCTTCCAAAACTATGTTTTCACGAGAAAAAAAAAAAAGGTTCCCTTCTTCACTGCATGATTCTTTTTTTTTTTTTTTTTGTATTTTTAGCATAAGAAGGATTACCATTTGTGACCCACATGTGGTAGAGAAGTCAGGGAAAAGCAGCAAGGGTGGTGTGCTGATCAGTAATAAGGTATATTGTATAACCAACTGATAGAAATAAAATATTTCAGTTTTTTATTAAATCGGACATAGTGATGATATATTTGGTTACTACTCATGCTTTCCCATTTGTGCTCTAGTAATAATGACTCTAATGACAGTGGTTTATGTGGGTGGACATTGTGCTGTCTGTCTCTCTTTATATTCGCACATCAACCATACCAGATGCCTTTTTTTTTTTTTTTTTCCTTCCCTATTTTCGGTAGTATGTGAAGAGGAAAACTGTGGATGTTATCACTTTTTTCACAATCTGTTTTATTTTTAATTCCTAATTCTAAGAAAAAAATATTGTAATTTTTCATTGATTAGTTTTTATTTTGTTAAAATCATCATAAGCACACTACATGGTAAGGGGAGGACATTAATGAAAAGGTAGGTAGAACATGAAGAAGGGTTTTCTTTCACCAGCATGTTGGGACCTGAAGATAAGGAGAGCGGATTAATACCAACGCCCAGTTTGATAATGCTGGTGCAGAGATAATTGTGTGTGCAATGTTCAATGCAGGATGTTGATTGAACTTCTGAGTGTCCCATTCTTTTCCTTATTATAAAAGCCAAGAGAAGAAAGCCACAATATCCACTGAATTTTGTCTCTTCTTTTTTTCTTCATAAAAATCTTTCTGATGCCATGTTTATGTTATATAATAGTTGGGTGATGCAACTATACGTTGTCTCAGACTTCTTGGTGTTAATTGAATTATATAAAAAAAAAAATCATCCAAACTATGTTTACTCATTCTCGTTTACTATGTATAGTTGCATGCTCTTGTGGAGTATGAAACTTTGGAAGCTTCTGAAAAAGCTGTGAGTGATCTCAGATCCACGCTCTACTTACTTTAACTTATTAAACTTTTACCGTGTTTGATTTGGTATTGATAGTTGTTTTTCTGATGTCATAAGGTGGCTACTTTAAATGATGAACGAGACTGGAGAAATGGCGTGCGTGTTAAGCCTTTTAAGCATCTGGTGCTGTATCTCATTTTACCTCACTCATATATCAAGTTGAATGTATTTACAATACAGTTCTTTACATCAGGTTAAGCATGGCCAGAAGAAACAACACTGGAGATTATCCAATCCCGACAAGAATGGCACTGGGCGATTAACTGATCATTCTTGTCCTGACAAGAACAGCACTGGACGAACAACTGATCAAAATGTGGACGAAGAGATTCAGAACATAACTGAGCATCATGAGGACGTGCCTGATGAGGAGGTTAATTCTGCTCTTGTACTTTCACTAAACCTAGAAAAACCTGGAATTTTCTATGAGATATGATTGCAAGGAAAAGCTTGTTATGATAACAATATCAACTTTTCCAATTTTAGGAGGGCGATCATCAGCACAAGGATAAACATGAACATAGAGGTCGAAATCAAGGACGAACTAGAAGGCAAAAGTACAAGGGTGTCAATGGAATGGGTATTGATCTGATCTCATCATTTTAGAGTTTGAGTTATTAAGGATTTTGGCCAGCTAATCGTTTTGCTTTCTTCTAGGTCATGGAACTACAACCTCTGCTCATCACATCGAACTTCCAAAGCCACCCCCAGGCCCGAAAATGCCTGATGGAACTCGGGGGTTCACAATGGGGCGTGGGCGACCTGCAACCTCCAACCAAAGCTCATAGTGAGAATTTCGTGAGA